ATTTAAGATAAACAAGGTTTTACTGTATATATATATATATACACACAAACAAATGATTTAAGATAAACAAGGTTTTACTGTATATATATATATACACACACAAACAAATGATTTAAGATAAACAAGGTTTTACTGTATATATATATATATACACACAAACAAATGATTTAAGATAAACAAGGTTTTACTGTATATATATATATACACACACAAACAAATGATTTAAGATAAACAAGGTTTTTCTGTATATATAAAGTTCGGATAAACAAGGTTTTTCTGTATATATAAAGTTCGGATAAACAAGGTTTTTCTGTATATCTAAAGTTCGGATAAACAAGGTTTTTCTGTATATCTAAAGTTCGGATAAACCAAATTTAAATTCATAAACACAAACGAATTTGGATATACAAGATTTAACTGTATATACACACAAACAAATCATTGGAGTTCGGATTAAGAAGAAAACTACACCATATTGCCATTTCAATCACTGAATATAAACAATATTTTTGAACTTTTGAACGCTAACACAGATGAAGTTGAACACGTTAAACACTGTTATATATGTAAATATTCTTATCAATATTCATTATCGTCTTCCAGAGTTACTTCCCCTCGAGAATTAATATTAATTTTCAAATCAAAATGATGATGATGATGATGATGATGATGATGATGATGACGACGGACGACAACGACTGGGACGACGATGATGATGATGATCGGGGTTATGCCCTAGATCAGAGTAGGACAATTTTTTTTTTTTAATTTGTAAATTTCTTTTCTTCGTCTCATATACGTAAGAACGGACCAGAAACGTAAGGGTATTATATCATTCATATGCAGTACGGACATTTCCATTCCGAATTTGAAATAGCGACCGCAAGTTACAAGTTACCTTTTCATTTCAGTCTCCATGGATAAGAAAAAATTAACGAAAACCTCGTCGATGAAATTTTTTTAAAAAAGATACATATGTTTTCATTTGTAGACTTTTTTTTCTTCCGATCGTACCCAAAACTAAGCATCAAACACTTGGGACCAGGAAAAGACACATACACAAACAAATTTTGCCGAAAGGATTCCTCCATTTCTTCCTAGATTTAACAGTGTAATGCCCTTTTTACTCGAAATTCAAGAAGTGATTTTTATCTTACCGATGGCGCAAGCCTAACATTAAATTTGCACATCTTGGGACAGGGGGAAATTTAATATATGAAGAGAATGATCTCTAGAGCTCTATGAAAGAAATAACAAAAAGAGATTTTGTGGGATACCATAGGCGAACAACGGATCTCCAGGCGCGTCGTTGCCTATACGCAAATACGGTGCTGCATCATTTTCATGAAATAAATTATTTGCAACACCGTCCTTATTTCTTCCCAGCGTTTGGGGACTCCCTCCCTGCAGGTGCTCATTTAAGGTTACAGTCATTATTTTGTGAATACCATCCGACCGGAACAACTGCCACCCGAAACTCAGAAATACTCGAAATAAGTATTGAAACATTTGAATGGTGCCGTGATGATCATAAATAATTGTAAACCCTTCGCAAAATTGGATGAAAAACATGTAATAACAAGCATGTCAACATAGAAAACTCAAATCTAATACAGCTAGGACAAAATATGAACAAAAGTAAGAATAAGGCCAAGAGTTCCGGATAAGTAAGCATCTTCTGCTTCATCGACCACACAAATATTGTAAATACAAATTCCGAGTATTTTTGAGTTTCGCATGGTTCTTGTCTCGGTCAGATTGTAAAATGAGAAATTGATTAATAGAAAGATAGATTATTCAGAGAGTTTGAATAAATATACTATAAGTTAAGGTGACTCTTTTCTGTACAACTTACTGTACAGGCACAGTAAACCCAAACGCAGAGTACCAATAAGGGCATATCATCTTCAAAAGTATCTAGTCAAGTACACCCCCCCCACACACACACACAAACGCCCTAATTGTACAGACCGTCTAACCACGTCCCGGATTGTACAGACCGTCTAACCACGTCCCTAATTGTACAGACCGTCTAACCACGTCCCTGATTGTACAGACCATCTAACCACGTCCCTGATTGTACAAACCATCTAACTACGTCCCTGATTGTACAGACCGTCTAACCACGTCCCTGAGTGTACAGACCATCTAACCACGTCCCTGGTTGTACAAACCGTCTAACCATGTCCCTGGTTGTACAAACCGTCTAACCATGTCCCTGATTGTATAGACCGTCTAACCACTTCCCTGGTTGTACAAACCGTCTAACCATGACCCTGATTGTACAGACCATCTAACCACGTCCCTGATTGTACAAACCGTCTAACCACGTCGCTGATTGTACAGACCATCTAACCACGTCCCTGAGTGTACAGACCGTCTAACTTCGTCCCTGATTGTACAGACCGTCTAACCACGTCCCTGGTTGTACAAACCGTCTAACCATGTCCCTGGTTGTACAAACCGTCTAACCATGTCCCTGATTGTACAGACCGTCTAA